ATTTTTCTCCCTAAAATGCAATTTAGCTATGTGCCCTTGAGTAAAAATGTCCAAGGGCAACATTGTCACCTACTCCTTTTCTGGGTTCTAGTCCAACATAAGAAGCTTTCAAAATTAGAAATTCCATTTTCATTTAGACTACAACAGTACAAGTTCTTTGCTTTTCAAAATCCATCTTTTTTATTTCCACATGAATGTGATATTCCATCCCACCATTAGCTTTACCTATTCCCTCAAGACTATTTCATGGGAAACCTCCTCTATGAATATTTTCCTGGTCACATGACTTGATGTAATTATTTTTTCCTTTAAGTCCATCATTCTTCCTACCTCTCCTAGATATTTTTCACATTCTACCTCACACTATTTGGTACTAGTTGTACCCACTTTGCTATGGTTCCAAGAGAGCAAAGATTATGTTAATAAGCTCCAGGCCTAGCACAGTACGGTGAAGAGAGTTGCATCTCAATAAATGCTTGTGATTAATTTCAATTACTCTATGACTATAGCGTGTGAGGGCAGATAAGGTGCATTTATCTTTTTGTAACTCCAGCAATGCTCAGCAATGCTTTCTGTCTGGTAGTAGGTACCGGAAATGCGATGAATTAAATTTAACATCTCCCAACTTTTTTTCTTTTGATGACAAATTATTCAAAAAACATACAGCCAACAGTTCAAATACTGTATGCTGGAATCTGCTGACATTTTTTTCAAGCAACAATAACCATAACAATCTTTGGAACCTCAAATGGAATATGCATCTCTATTTAGGAATACTAAAATTACACTAAAGTAAGGTACTATTTTCCCTGCTGTTAAGACCAGCAGTTATATGATTTCACCTCAAGAGACATACTTAAATTCTAACTCTCTCCCTTTTATAGATAGCATATGACATAAGAAGCTTTCAAAATTAGAAATTCCATTTTCATTTAGACTACAAAATATATTTAAAACACATATGCATATATTTGTATATCAATGTCTATATAAAAATGTACAGCCAAAAATGTATATACTTATCTAATTTTCTTATTTTGAGGTAATAGATTTACATGCATGTGTAAGAAATAGTACAGAGAGATCTCAAGTACTCATTACTCACTTTTTCCCACTGGCAATATCTTACATAACTCTTAAATATCACACCAGGGCACTAGCATTGATACAATTCAATGTTCTTATTCAGATGTTCCAGTTTTGCTTGTCCTCACTTATCTGTGTGTGTGTCTACTTTATGCAACTTTATCATATGGGTAGTTCCGTGTATCTGTCCATAATCAATATACAGAATGGATCATTATTTCCACAAAGACCCTTCATTGCTCTTGTAATAACCATTCCAACTTCCTTTCCAAAATCTAGTGAAACTAATATCACCTATTTCCAGAATCCTATTTGGAGAATCCTGTATCTCTAAAACACAAATAACAATGTAAACAAATGTTACCTCAAACAGAAGGAAGGAAAGGAGGGAAAGAAGAAGCAAGAAAGGGCATTACAGAAATGAAATCATATAGCATAAAACCTTTGGAACTGACTTTTTTACTCAGTATCATGTCTTAGAGAATCATCCAAGTTGTCAAACATCTCAAGAGTTCATTTCTTTTTATTGTTGTTTTATTTACTAAAGTCAATAGTTTGCATTAGGAGCCATTTCTTATGCTGCAAATACTGTGAATTTGACCAATGCCTGTCATGTATTCATTCATCATTACAGTATCACACAGAATAGTTTCACTGCCCCCAGGTCATTCCTTGACTCATCACCCCCTCAATCACTCATCTTTTTGCTGTATCTACACTTTTGCTTTTCCAGAGTCATATAGTTGAACCTAAACTATGTAATTTAGTTAATACTGGCTTTTATACCTAACAATACACATTTATGTTTCCTCCATGTTTTTTTGGAGGCATAATAGCTCATTTCTTTTTATTGTCAAAGTAATATACTTATTTGCCATCTATATATTTTCCGTGGTGAAGTATCTTTTGTTTGTTGCTTAATTGGGTTTTTTCCTATGTCACTGTTATTTTAAGAGTTGTTTGCGTATTTTAGAGTTAAGTCCAAAAGTGTTTGGTAAATATTTTCTCTCCTCTGGTTTATCTTTTTCTCTTTTAACAGAATTTTTCCAGAGCAGAAGCTTTAATTTTAGGGAAGCTCAACTTTTCTATTTTTTTCTTTATGGATCACACTTTTAGTGTTAGTCTAAAAACTCACTGCTAACAATGATAGCAACATTTGCACAAAGCAGTCAAATTCAATCCAGTGCCCTAATATCATTATAAACAGTCCAAAGGCATCACTAGGCAAATGTTTCAGTAATAGCAGAGAGGTGGGACTCATGCGAATGTAAAAGAAGAAGAGACAGAAAAGTAGCGTGCATGTGAGAAAAAGCACCCACCTCAGCAGGTGATTTGGAGGGAACAGACACTCAGTGATGAGGAAACCACTCCTGAGGGGATTACTGAATAATGCCAAAATGACGTCAAATCTGATCTCACATGGTTAATTAGTCCCCGGGGAAAAGTTGTGGAAGAGATCAAATGTGTACATTGCTATTGTCCTACAAATAGATGAATACAAGAGGCAACCAGGCTCAACAGAGAGTTTGTCTACTATTTTTGGATGGTATTCAGTGTTTGGGCATTCCAGCTCCCAACAAAGAAACCAGTCAACTAGGCCAATTGGCTTTCAGACTTCAAACTTGACCCAGTTCAAGTGTGTGCAACCAGATTAACAGTGTATACTCTTGATTCAATTTAGGCACAAAAAAAGTTACATCCATTTATTATCTCAGTAAAATGTAAATCCTCTCAAACCCTCAGAAAATCAGCAGATTTCATGCCAGTCAAATCTTATAATCTCCATACCAAAAGTTCTTGAGTTGTTCTGGAATTTTAAGCTTTTAATACATTTGAATTAAACAGGGTATGGCCCAGGGATATGGGAGTCTTTAAAAAATTATTTTTACTTACTTATGTATACAAGAACTGGGGTGTAGGCAGAGATATAGGGAGTGAGAAGATTCACCAGAGACAGAGTGGGGAGCAGAAAAGACAGACTGACTGAAACATACTGCTGAGAGGAGCAGCAGGTGAGATAGGAGAGGTTTCTGCAGCACCATGTGTCACCCTTCTGGCCAGAATCGAATTCATGTTGCAGTGGCTTTAACCTGCTGCACCACTAGTGAGGGCTGGAGAGCTCTTAATTTCTAAGATGACATCTGGGGTGTAGTCATGATACTGGAGATTCTTGTAGGTGCTTTCAACATACTTTTTTTAAATAGGTTAAGGTCTCACTGGGCCTAGAGAGAGACTACAAACACAAATAAGTCATACTTCCTACAGCTGGGAAATTTATTTTTGCAGCTATTTTCCACCAACCAATCAAGTTTTTGAATGGAAGTCACCTTTTTAGGTCTAGACCTTAATTCTAATACATAATTCTCTAGACCTTAAGGTAAAATCTTAAAGCGTTTTTTCAATTCTTGCATGAAAATGAGTGTCTATTTTTTAATCCTTGCTCTATTGCTAACCAATTAGTTTTGAAACCCTGGGCAAGTCATATGTCTCTGGGTTTAACTGCCTCAATAAATAAAATGAGAGGGACAGTCTTCTGTGACTGGCTTTCTTTTCACACCCAGTCAACTCCAAGGTGCTTTCCTTTTTCTCTTTTTCAGCATGTTCATCACAGCCAAGCCCTTCATTTCTGGATTACTGTTAAGCAGGCTTTAAGTACTTTGGTTGTAGATGTCACTTGTTAAAAGCACTTTTAAGCAAGACTTAGCCTAGAGTTATATTGGTTAAATTGGAGGCTAGAAAATTAGAATCCTGTCACAATAGAGATCTAACTTGTACCAAAAGTCTGTTGCTAAAGAACTCAGAAGCTGGCCTCCTTGATTCCTGCTATTCATGTCACACCTCAGCACTGCCATTCCGACCACACCTTCACATCTTCAATGTTGCTATCCTCATCTTTCCTTTAAGGAAAATTTTACCTTTTTGTAAACTTAATTCCAATGATCTCTTTAAGGCTAACTGCTTCCATGGAGTTAGTAAATTTCCCTTTTTCTTTTTCCTTATGGAAATATTAGAGTGTCAACAAAAACCCAATGCTGTAATTTCCTCTAGTGAATAATGCAAGCAGGAAAGAGATAACTAAAACTCTCAATCAACACAAGTAAAACATATAAAGGTGATGTGAAGAATAAGATTTGTTTTCTTTATTATTTTTTCTTATACCCTTTGCAAATTAAAGTAAGCATCTGGCTGCTGATCCTTTTTTTTTTAATAGAAAATTAAAATGTATCTTAAAATTGTTTTAGAATATTTAATAATATTAAAAATATACTTTCTGTCTCTTGCAACTTCTTATATATGAAGATGTCTGGACAAAACTATATGAACTGTTACTGATTAATAGGTCTAATTTAGGACGATATTTAAAAAAGCAGTGAGTAATGCTATATAAATGCTGACAGGGTAACTTATTCCATTCATAGATAAGTTTTGAAATCTCTGTATTTCAATCATGAAACAATCAGTACCAATCTAACCAAATGACTGTCAAAGTTAGTCTTTAGAACAGCAGAGAAGCATTTGGGGAAAACTGAAGTTTTATTTTCTCTCTTTCAGATTCTCTTATTGCTGGTTGAACCCTAATTTGAATACCTTCTTCAGAGAAAGGCCACAATTAGAGGAGTTTTATGTGGCAAGAGTAAAGTAGTACTGTCATATCCCATCAATCTTTTCAGCAGCCACTTTCCAACTCCAAAAGAAATTTTCTCAAGAAATGAGTTTCCAGCAATTTTAGTTCCCATCACTGCTGTCTATGTGTCACAACTGAAAAAAAAAATCCATTACATTACAAAAATATTCTGTTATCCAGTATTTGCTAATTACGATTGAGACCAGACACATACAAAGTTTCAAAGAAAACAATTGAAGGGAACATCTGAGATTAATTTTCTCCCATTCTTTGTTGTTAAGCTACTCACGGCAAATCTTCCAAACTGGAGGCTTCATGTCTTGGATCCAATAGATCATAACCACATTCATTGTAGATTTCCAAGTAGGAAATGTGCGTTGTATATATTTTGCTGCTGTCCTGATTGGAAAAGGGAAAGATGTTATTTAATGGCTATAGGTCACAATTCAGTGTAGAAAAAGATGAGCACATTTATCACTAAGTTCCATCACAGCTTCTCTCCTTTTCTCTCTCATTTTGTATGGTTTACATTTTTAGTTCGTGACACTTTCAAGTTGCCAGTTACCATATGCATGAAGGCTTCTTTTTATTTTTTTAATGGCCAACACCCATGATTACAAGAAACTTCAGTCTGTTATTTTTTATTGGTTCCACGTTATACATAAAAAGTCAATATACACTTAAAATAAGCCATCTTGGTTACAGAATGGCATAGTGCACCATTTTCTACTTTCCAGACCCCCCCCCAAAAAAAGGTCACTAAGAAAAAATAAACTTATTGTTAGTTTGGTTTAAACCTTCAATAGTGAAAGAGTTTCCAACTTTAACCATAGTTCCTTTTTACCTTCTAATATTAAACTTTTTCTGCTGACATAAATAGGTAACGGAAAGTGAATTCCAAGGGACAGAAATAGTCCGACCAACCAGGTAGCAGGAAGTATGGACATTAATGGTGCATTGCATAATCAGGCTAGTTTGCATGCCCTAAGTGGCAAGTCAAGATATTTAGGTATTAATAAGGGAGACGTATTTTCTGTGGTTTACTGATGAAATTCAGTGACATAGGAATCATTGTAATTAGGGTAAAGGTCAAGGTCTCTTACACACATTTCAGTTCTGCTAACAGACAAAAAGACCCCACGGTCCCTTTGGAATAAGTAAGATAAGCAACTTTTTCAGCTCTCGAGAAAAACTGCGTTCAGTTTCTACTACAAAACATCATATAATAGCATCTTCTTGTTCTCTCCAAATACAAAAGCTTCCATCCCTGTAAATATGATACTGCTTCTGCTTTTCATAAAATGAGAAAATATTTGTGTCTTATGGAAAGGCCATTGTCAGAGAGGATACTAATAGAGAGGGTTTGCTTAGCATGACTTTTCTAATTGATTCTCACTTGTACCCAATACAGTCTATTTAACAGGTACTACTCAAAGGGAAAGCAGACCAAGTCATAGTGCTAGGGGCGAAAACAAATCCAAAGCTGGTTTCCTAGCCCTGTGAGCTATGAGTCCCTACCATGTAAGGTATCTGTTTCCATAGTCATTAAAATAAAGATGTTAGATGATGAATCCAAATATGTACTTTAGATTAAAATAATAGTCTTCTATGATCCTCAAATGGCTCTAACTATTCAAAGAGGGATATTACTATTTCATAGAAACAAAATGATACATGAAAAGCCAAGGTAACTGGCAGACAGCACATGTCTATAGTCACTCTCCAGCTGCAGCTGCAACTACACATTCTGTTCTTCTGTGAAGGTGACATCCTGGACCAAGTTTGTTCCAAGAAATGCTGTAAACTCTGCTGATGTGGATGACTTGCCATTCTGGCAAATCAACAAATCACCTATTAATTACAATCATCTCCTGGTTTAGTAAAAGCACCATTTCAAAATTATTCTTCAGGCTGTCGCTTGGCTTAGTATAGGTATCAGAGAATATAAACACTGGAGAGACTCTGTGCTCTTCCATCTAATATAGTGTTTCCTAAAGCACTCCATGAAATGCCTTTGGAAAAGGTGTTCTGTAGTCAACGCATATACTGCTCTGCTCTGTAAGGTTCTCAGAACATACTCATGACCACCAGAGATCATTCAGCATCACCCCAAGATGCTGTTTAAAACAACATTATTTTAGGGCCCCTCTGGAGGCACAAGAGGTTAATTTTTTTTTAAAGATTTTATTTATTCATACAGAATTGGGGTACAGGCAAGAGATGTGGAGGGTGAGAAGATTCACCAGGGACAGAGTGGGGAGCAGAACAGGCAGATCGATGAAGTACACTGCTGAGGGGAGCAGCGGGCGGGTCAGGAGAGGTCTGCCACGCCATGTGGTCACCTCCGGGGCAGGCGGGAATCGAACTCATGCGGAAGTGGCTTAAGCTTCTCAGTGCTGTGCTTTAACCTGCTGCGCCACCAGGGAGGGCCACAAGAGGTTACTTTAAGATGCAGTCCTATGAACTTATCAATAGTTATTGCAGCCTGAGTTTAATCCCTGGCCAGGGAACTGACCCACATGGCACAACAGACCTCTCCTGTCTCACTCACTGCTCCCCTGAGCAATGTATTTCTGTCAGTCTGCCTGTTCTGCTCCTCATTATGTCTCTGGTGAATCCTCTTGCCACCACCCCCACACCTCTGGCCTGCACCCCAGCTCTTGTACACCTAAATAAATAAATCTATTTTTTAAAGATTTATTTACTTATTTATGCATACAGAACTGGGGTACAGGTCAGAGGTGCAGGGACAGTGAGAGGATTCACCAGATACAGAATGAGGAGCAGAATAGGTAGATCAATGAGGTACTCTGATGAGGGGAACAGCAGGTGAGACAGGGGAGGTCTACCACACCATGTGGATCACCTCTGGAGCAAAAAAAAAAAAATGTCTCTAAAACTTACCTGAACATACCTGAAATATCCCACAGACTAAGGCTTTATATTTTAGCATACAGTGTGAGCTCATTTTAGCATCACACAGAATGAATTTCAGATATTAGATCTATCATTTGTAACAGTTATCTTGTACCCTCTCAGATGTTTAATTAATAATTGTTAAATTATGAAGGAGAATATTGGGGTTTATATTTTAAATTGGCGAGGATGTGGAGAAAAAGGAACCTTCCTACATTGCTGGTGAGAATGAAAACTGGTCCAACCACTATGGAAAGCTGTGTGGAATTTCCTCAAATGGCTAAAATTTGGCTCCCATATGATCCAACAATTCCACTTCTGGGCATTTACCCAAAAGACATGAAAACATTAATTCAAAAGCGTGCCTGTACTCTTATGTGTATTGCAGCACAATTCACAATACGTAAGCTATGGAAACAACCCAGTTGTCCAAAAATAGATGACTGATGAAGATGTGGTATATATACACTGGAATATTACTCAGCAATCAAAAAAAATAAACTCATGCCATTTGCAGCAACATGGATGGAGTTGGAAGGGATCATGCTCAGTGAAATAAGCCAGAAAGAAAATGAGAAATACCAGATGCCTCACTTATAGGAGGATTGTAGGGGACCCAAACAAGGGATTGGGGAAAAATAACAATTATAACAAAGTAAATATCAATATCAACAGGTGACTATATCCAGAGACATTCTTCAGGGGTGTGGAGAAGAAAATAGCTTGAAAAGGGTGGGAAGAGCACAAGGGACTATGGTGATGGTACATGGGTGAACTGGTGGTGGGAAGTCCGTGGGGACCAGACATGAGTGGATAAAGCATACAATGTATGAAAATTAAGGACGATGCAAAAAATATATTAAAAATATTTAAAATACATAAAATAAATTAGTAACTAAATAAATAAAATCCTATCAAAAACATGTGGGCCACAATAGGCACCAAGAAAGGATTACTGATTTTATTGTGATTGCTGCTGCTGGTTTTATGATTTTTCTAAAAGTCTTTTAAAGGGGAATTTAGTGTGTGAAAATAAGAGAGGAAAAGAAAGGCAGAGTGAACAGTTACCTTGTATGTTTGTTGGTAGTTGAAATACTCTACTTCCAGAAATTAGGAAAATCATTAAAAGTCAGGAAAACAGCCCGGAGTTAAGAATAATGCTTTTGGCTCCTCCAGTATCTGTATTTTCTGTACTTTTATAGGAATACATTTAAAATTTACTGAGCTATATGGCAAGCTACCTTTCCTTATAAGACTAATTTCAGTGTTTAGGATTGCCACGCTATAATGTAACACATGTTTCCTGCAGACAACTTTCCTTCCTGCCTTCAAAAATGTTAGAACCTCACAATACTCAAAAATAATAAACAGAGATTTCTAAAATAAATGGAATCAATTTTCTTCCTTTACAATCATTGAACATGTACTCCTATCATGCTCCCAGATATCAAAGACTCACGATGCACTGGGGTCTTACTTTATCTTGAAATAAACACTTAGCATAAGTCAGGTGTTTCCTTAAAGACTTCCAGAGAGCTCCATGTGGCTCTCTAAGTCAATCATCTTGGGGCATCTGAATACCTGTCTGCATTTTTCAGTTATGTAATGTGGACAAACCGCAAGTTGCCCCAGACTTGTTTGTACACAATTCAGTTTAATTATAATGATTGTGTCTGTACCTCATCTTGGAAATGTGTCTATATACAAAGAGTCGTGCTGGCTATACATTGGTCAATAGGTTTGCTCCATCTCCAAAAGGATTTTTAGAATTGTTTAGACTGAAATGAGGTTTAAAGTAATGTCAATTACAAACATAAAACAATGAGCCCAAGAGAGTCTGTGTGTGGAAAACATTTAGGTTTTTAGAACTGTATTTTGGTAACTACAGAGGAAATTTAAAAAGACAAATGTATTTTCTATATATGAAATCTATTATAAATATATGTTTTTTTTATGTTAAACTTAATGAAGGTAATTGGCTTCATTTGTCCTGAGTTTCAAAGGATTCTCTGAAATTGGTCAGGGATCACTTGGAAATTATGTGTGTGTGTATTCACATATACATATAATATACACATACATATTGTTGTAGCAAAAACTATCATGTATGGAGCATCTACTACGTGCCAAGAAAGATCTGGACCATAATTTAAACAGTCTCCACAGTAACTCCATAGGACTGAGACATTAAATAGTCTACCCAAGGTCACATGCTTTAAGTAGTACACTTTCTTTGAATCAGGTCTGCCTCTACTAATTTCATGATATTTACAAGACAACAGGATTCACATCAGGCCATGGCAAGAAGAACAATTAGAAATTATATCCCCAGCGTGTGAAATTTGGGAACAAAATAACATAGCTAATGTCAGAAATACATGAGTAAATGAAAAGAAGAGATTTGGACCCAATATATATATATACTATACTCAACTTTTACTTTTCCAAATTTTCTGGCATGCAGACTTGGCATGTTTGAGCTAGTGAGAGATGAGCTGAACTAATGGGTAATTGCTACTTTATGGATGGAAATTAGAATTATGCAGATCTCAGCTATTTCTTCTCATCTTTGCAATTCAAAATGCAAACAGCATACAGTTGAAATATTTTGGTATGACTGTTACACTGACCTAGTTAGGGCAATTGTTATACAGATTTAATAAAATTAAGGAACTGCTGGTACTAGTAAGGATGTTGGAAATCATCTAGTACAGTGTAATGCCTACTTTCATAAAGGAGAGAAATGAAACTCAGAGAAACTACCTGACCCATTGTGGAGAATTTGCTCAAATACCACCAACAATATAAAGTCAGTCTGAGGTAAAGAGATAGTATATATAGTGATAATAAGCACAGTATGTGACATCATATAGACCTGTGAGGAAACTCCAAATCAGCTATTTACAAGGACCAGGAGAATGATATTTGAGGTTCAATTTTTCCAACTATAAAAAGATAAGTCTTCCTCCCTACCATGCTATTTGTATTATATATCGTATTAAATGTTGGTAAGACAACAGACACTTGGATTCACTCAATAAATGATGTATATAATACGCGTGGGATTCCTCTTTATAGCAGTATTAATTACAATACATTTTTGACTCTGGTAAATGCATCTGTACCTCATCAAAACTGCCAAGAGGACACACAGTATCTAGTCAGTGCTTTAGCAGCTAAAATAAAAGTAAAATTCTGCTTTGGTGAAAAGATATTCTTAAGTTTCTTAATGAGGGATAAGATATTAGTAAAATTTGTTGTTATCTGTTCCATGTGCATATCAGAAGGAATTCCATTTGGGTCTTTCCTGAAACAGTATCCAGTTAATGAGAAACACCTTCTTAATTTTAACATTTTCAGTGAAATCCCAAACTTTCCTTAAATTTAAATGTAAGGATAACTAAAGCATAGCATTGTCACCTAATAAAAAAGTCCTCATTTAGAGATAGTACAATAAAATATCACCAATTTTTTTCCTGTAGTAAATTTCTGCTGTATATATATATATATATATCAAGTATAGTATACTTAAAGTTTCATACCTTTTGTAATTGCTCAAAAATATATGACAGTGTCCTTGGGATAATGCCTCTGTCACTGTAGCGCTCTGCCCCTCCTGTGATGGTAAATGTCTTACCGCTGCCAGTCTGCCCATATGCAAAGACGGTACCATTGTAACCTGCCAGGACACTGCATAAAGAAATGGCACACTTTTAAAATCAAAATGGCTAACTAGATTTTTATTGACTGTTTTATATTCTAATAGCAAGCTTATTTAACACTTGCAAAGACACTTAGAATACCTACTTCTAGGGAAACATCTATAGAAATGTTTATATGCATGAGTGCCTAGCTAGAATTTACTTTTTTATACTCAAGTAGTAGTAGCACATCAACTCTTTTAAGAAAGCATTTCAGGAATAAGACACAGATATACACTCTCACCACTATTACTCAATATATTGCTGGAATTCCTAGTAAAAGCAATTAGACAAGAAAAGGACTACAGATTAGAATGAAAGAAATAAAACTATTACTATCTGCAGATGACATGGAACTATATACAGAAAATCCCAAAGACTCCAGTAAAAAGTTATTAGAAATAGCAAATTAATACATAAAAGTAGCAGACTACAAAATTAATATACAGAAATCTGTTACACTTCTATACACAAAATTAATAAAAAAAAGTAGAAAAGGAAGTCAGAAAAACAATCCTATCTGCAGTCACATCAAGAAAAAACATAAATACTTTGGAATAAATTTAAGAAAAGTAGTAAAAGATTATATACTGGAAAGTATGAGACATTTTGTTGAAATAAATAGAAGATGCAAATCAGTAGGAAAATATTCTGTACTCATGAACTAGGAGAATTAACAGTTAAAATACTATATTACCTAAAGCAATACAGAATCAATCCAGTTCTGTCACAATCCAAATGACATTCTTCACAGAAATGGAGCAAACAATTATGAAATGAATTTGGAACCAAAAAAGACATCAAGTAGAAATAATAATCCTGAGAAAAATGCACAAAAATGGAGATGTCATGCTCTAGTGACTACAAATAAATTGTCACTAGAACAGAATGGTTCTGCAATAAAAACAGACATATAGATCAGTGGAACAGAATCAAAAGTCCACCAATGTATGGACAGCTAATTTATGACAAAGAAGCCAAGGGCCATAATACAGCAAAAAAAGTCCCTTTTATGTGGGAAAAAAATGGAGAACCTCATGTAAAAGAATGAAACTATATATTATCTAATACAAATCACAAAAATATAATTCAAAATGGACAAAAGACATCAACATAAAGCCTGAAAATATAAAATATGTAGACGAAAACAGGCATTGACATTAACCTTAAAATGTGTTTGGGGACTTATCTCCAATGGCAAGAGAAACAAAAGCAAAAATAAATACAACTACAACAAACTAAAAAATTTCTACATAATAAAGGAAACCATTATCAAAATGAAAAGACATCCAACTGAATGGGATGGCATAATTGCACATCATAAGCCCAACAAGAGATTAATATACAAAACACAAAGAAGTCACAAAATTCAACAACAAAAATCGAACAGTCTAATTTAAAAATAGGCAGATGATCTGAATAGACACTTCTCCAAAGAAGACATACAGATGGCCAACAGACACATGAAATAATATTCATCCTCACTTATTATTAAGGAAATGTAAATCAAAGCATCATTGAGACATCACCTCACACCCATGAGAATGACTATTATCCAAAAGACAACAACAACAAAAATAAATGTTGGAGACAATATAGCTCCTCTCTATTGTACATTGGCTCTTCTTATCCTCTATTGTTGTAAATTGGTGCAACATTATAGATAGCAGTATAGAGATTCCTCAAAAAAATTAAAACTGGAAATATGATATAATACAGTTATCATACTTTACCCAAAATATTAAAAACTACTAATCTGAAGAGGTAGATGCACCTCATGTCTACTGCACTGTTATTTATAATAACCAAGAGCTAGAAATGATAAGTGCTCAGAAACAGATGTTTGGATAAAGAAGATATGGTATATACACAGTGGAATATTACTCAAAAAGAAAGATAAAAAGATGGAATCTGGCCATTTGCAACAACACAGATGAACCCAGAGAGTATGATACTGAAGAAATAGTCAGATGGTAAAAGACAAACATGGTAATTTCACTCATATGTGTGTATACAGAGAAGCCAAACAAACAGATGAACTAAATAAAAATAAATTTTTAGTGGTTACTAGAAAGATGGAGGTAGATAAATTGAATGAAAAAGGGTCAGAATTAAGGATAAAACCGGACTCTTAATGGTAAAGTTAATGTAGTATACATAGATGCTTACCTGAAACATACACACTGTTATAATGTAATGGGATTTTGATTAAAAATAAAATGTAGGCCCTCCCTGGTGGCGTAACAGGTTAAAGCACAGCACTAAGAAGATTAAGCCACTTCTTCATGAGTTCGATCCCTGCCTGCCCGGGAGGAGATCCACATGGTGTGGCAGACCTCTCCTGCCCCGCCCGCTGCTCCCCTGAGCAGTGTACTTCCTTGATTTGCCTGTTCTGATCCCCACTCTGTACCTGGTGAATCCTCTCACCCTCCGCATCTCTAGCCTGTACTCCAGTTCTGTATGAATAAATAAATAAATCTTTAAAAAAAATGTAGTGGGAATAAAAATGCTATACTTCAAATGGCATCTATTACAAATTTTTATTTAGAATAAAAATTTTTACTTATTCTAAAGATTTTTAGTTAGAATAGTTTTATAAGAGGATCCGGTAACATGGCGGCAGAATGAAGATGCTGAAATCACTACCTTCAAGCTCACACAGGAATATAAGACAAAAACGGACTGTAGACTTACACAGTATGAGCTTCTACACAAATGAGAGCACCCTGGACTCACTAGAAGGAAGATAACTGAGGGAGACTCAGCATTTGGGGAGCTCCAATGGGGGGGCTCTGATTCGGGAGCACCCAGGCGCTAGGAAGTGCCTCAAATAGGAGGCTAGTTGCTCTTCGACTCACTAAAGCCCTGGAGATAAAGAGAGACAACTCAGCTCGGTGAATGGAACCAAAGCTGTAAAGAAAAACTGCTTGGAGTGGGCACATAGCCCCGGAGGTGAATGGAACTAAAACTGTAAAGAAAGACTGCTTGGAGGTCCTCCCTGGTGGCGCAGCAGGTTAAAGCACAGCACTAAGAAGCTAAAGCCACTTCCGCATGAGTTCGATTCCCGCCTGCCCCGGAGGTGACCACATGGCGAGGCAGACCTCTCCTGACCCGCCCGCTGCTCCCCTTAGCAGTGTACTTCGTTGATCTGCCTGTTCTGCTTCCTGCTCTGCCTCTGGTGAATCCTCTCACCCTCTGCATCTCTGGCCTGTACCCCAGTTCTGTACAAATAAATAAATATTAAAAAAAGAAAGAAAGACTGCTTGGAGTGGGCACATAGCCCTGGAGGTGGGAAGGAGAAACTGGCCTCTGGGGCAGCTACAAGGCTTGTAACCTGTCTCGTGCTCCTTGCACCTCTCACCCCCACAGAAAAGGCCTGAAGACTTGTTCACGCTATTAGCCACTAAGGCAGGGTCCAGCAAGCTCACAAAACCCCAAAGGTGAAAGGGGAAAAAAAAAAAAAAGAACTGGTTAGACTGAATCTAAAACAGGCCCAACCCTGGGAAGCTACAACACTTTTAACATACCCCCAACCCTCCATGAGGATGTCCTAGCATAGAGAGGCCCTAGGAAGTGCCTCAGATGGGAGACTTGCTACTGTTCTACATGTTTACTGCCTCTACCCACAAAACCTGAGGTAAAGCCCTGGAGTTAAAAAGGGACAGCTATGTTCTGTGAGTGGACCCCAAGCAGTGGGGAAAGACTGCTCAGGGAGAGATTGTTTGGAGTGGGCACAAAGAGTCCTGGGGGTACTGAGGGAGGACTGGCAGCCTGCACAGCTGGGAGGCTTGCAGCCCTTCTGGCTCTCCCTGCATCCCTGAATCCCCCACCCCCACAGCAGTGCCCTGAAGAGTTGTGAGCCAGTACGGCACTGCCTTGCAAGGCTAACAGTGCTCAGAAAGTAAACAAAACCAGTGACTGGCTCAATGACAGGCAAAGCTGCAGGGAGACCTACAACACTTCTAACATTCCACACTCACCACGGACACATCAAGCATAGATAGAACCCGGGACATTGAAAGGCCACAAAGATCAACAGGCACCTTCCAGAGACAAGGACTCAACATATTACCAGAAGAAACTGAACACCACAAGAGACCCCTGAATACCACTGGCTGAAACAACAGACACAATTACACACAGTGGGGGGCTGGAAAAACAGGAGACACTGAAACAAAACAAGGTTCAGAATACCCTCCACAACTGAAGTGTCTGGAAGTGCCTCTGCCATCCCAGAAAGAACATCCACAAAGAATGCTGGTCAATTATAGCAACACCGTGTCTCAGTGAATAGAAAGTATTAGAAAATACACGACAGGAAAAAAGAAGACAAATACTCAAGCAAGTCCAAAGGGGAAAATTTCATAACAAAAAGTTTGGTCATTAGAAATCACCAAAGAAAGAGAAGAACTGCTCAGCCTACCAGATAGAGAATTGAGAATCAACATGAAAACAAACAAAAAGAAGATGAGAAGGAAAAAAAATGATATGAGGCAAGCCATCAAGTAATTGAAGAATGCAAACAAAGAGATGAATGGAAGAAATAAAAAAGAAAAACAAAAAACAATATGAGACAAGCAATCAATGAACTGAAGAAAGATGAGACATTAAAAAAGGAAATAGAAAAAATGCAGGAGATGAAAAGGCCCCTAGAGGAGATAAAGAATGCTGGGAAAAGTAACAAAAACAAAATAGATGACATAGAAGAACAAATCAGCACCCTCAAAGACATGGACATAAAGAGAATTAAAACAGAAAAAGAAAGAGAAGTAAAAAGGAAAAGGAATGAAGAAACACTTCAAGAGCTATGACACCATGAAGAAAGGAAATATCAGAGTTATAGTTATCTCCCACCTTCTCCTAGAAGCTGGGAGAAAGGCCAAGGAATTGAGAAAATATTCACAGAGATAATAGAAGAGAACTTCCCTAATATGAAGGAGATGAAAGTAGACATCCAAAAAGCAAGGATAACACCAAACTACCATGACA